CCAGAGTGGATATTCCTTTTTTTTTTTTTTTTTTTTTTTTTTTTTTTTTTTTTTTTTTTTTTTGTTGTTGTTGTTGTTGTTGGAAAGGACTGCCCGTTTGGGAGCTAGGGGCGCTGGTATGAGCAGGCGCCTCTATCTCCCCCGGGGAGGCTCCCTCTATTGGTGGGGAGCAACACCTGCTGGAAAAAAATGGGTCCAACGTCCCTTCTGAAGATTTCCTCATCTTCTGCCAGCATTGATTGCCCTGAGAACAGGGGATTAACTGCGCAAGAATATGAGTAGCCAGAGAGGGAGGAAGAAGGGGCCTCTTCAGCCTTGCTATTCCTAATGGAATAGCAGCACGCGCTACATTCTCAGCAGTAGCTTGAGCAGCATAATTGGTTGAACGACGAGATCCTCCAAATCCCACTGAACCAGAAGAGGACCAAGATTTGGTATCTCCAAAAGAATCTGTTATGGTGATTACTAATTATAGTGTTACGAGCCAGGATGTAATCGACTGGTTTATTCCTTTTTAGGGAAAAAAAGAAGAGAAGGGAGGGACACAAAAAGGATGCAGTGGCACTTGCAATGACCTGCATTGTGAAGGGTGCTTTTTCTTTTCTTTTGACATTGGCTGCGGTAGAGAAGAGAGGGGGGGGGGGGGGGGGGGGGGAGGGGGGGGGTGCGGATAGAGCTGGGGTGAATGATGGTGGAAAGCACATGTGATTACCCGGGAGTGTTGTTTTCGCCAATGTTTGGGAGCACACGTGGTTAACCGGGGGTGTTTTTTTTTGGCCCGAATTTTGCACTGAAACTGTCATATTGCCCTGATTTTTTTTCGCTTTTCTTCTTGTTTTTCTTTTTGTGTGATAGGGTTTTGACGGGATATGAGCTCAGGGGCTGACAACAGCGTGCGTCCCATGCAGGTCTTCACTGGTCTACGACTGCATCCATCAGCATCTTGTCATCCAGCAAGCATATGAATGCCCCAGTTAAGTACACACTTACATGACCACGGTCCCGCGCGATACACACTTGGATGACCACGGTCCCGTGGGACTGGATGAGAGAAAGGGTTTGTTGCAACACTCACGGTTCAACTACTGCGAATGGAGGTTTGATGGAATTGTGCAGAGGCTGAGGGAGCACTTCTTGTGGAAGTGGAGCCTCGACCTCTTTTAGAAGTCCGTTGTCGGCAGAGGGAGAACGTCGAGGAGGTTGGAGAGTACGAAGAAGCTACAAAGAAGCTTCTTCTTCTTCTTCTTCTTCTTCTTCTTTATTTTTTTTTGGGGGGGGAGGCGGGGGGTTGTTTTTTGGTATTCTAAAATTCATTTGCTGTTGTGAATTTCCCTTGACTTGATGTGTCGTGTTCGCCTCGAAGTATGCAGTGCCACACGTCTGCAAACTTGCCCGGAACCCGTAAATCTTTTTTCTGCAGGTAACTGCGACCTCGGGCCGATAACCCACCCCCATCTAAAGGACGGAGAACCTCATTAACGGTGGTCTCCTCGTCTATGCGTTAAGGTGTGTTCCCGCACTGGTATATTTTCGATTTATCTCTGGAATCTGGACATAACTCCGGTCGGAAACATCCAGCACGGGCCGTAGGTCCGTAGTTGCAGTCAGACAGATCCAGGAAAGTCCTGGTGTTGAGTATCACCTCACCAGGGAGTCTCCTTTACTCTGCGGCATTCAGGGCATCGCCACACCACTATCGAAATGTGCAAAATGAGAATGAATTTCCCGCTAGAACATGGCCAGATGCACCCGCCACATTTTTGTCTTTTTCACATTTTCGAGTGTGGTGTGGCGATGCCCTTACTTGCAGTTACGATTCCTACGAACGAGAACCATTTGTACCCAACCGGCGACCATGCAAAAAAGACGCACCTTCACCCTCTGCACAAATGGGTGGGGATGTTGGGAACCGAAAAAAAAAAAAATCAAACGATTTGTGTGACACACACCTGGCAAAAGAAGAAAGACTGGCGTGTGTCACACAAATCGTTTGATTTTTTTTTTTCCGTTCCCAACATCCCCTCCCCAACCGGCGACTGCGCAAAGAAGGAACGTGATGCGAGCTGATAGGAGTTACAAACACGGATGAAAACAATACGTGCTAAAAAAGCACAAAAAAAGGGGGAAAAAAAAAAAAGCACTCTGTGTGATCATTTGTTAGACATACATACATTGGGTGTCATTAAGCATCTGCCACAATCATCTAGCCGTCCTGCATCATCATGTGGCCTGTTTCAAAATGTGTGTGCGCTCAGCAGCTGACCCGGACCCTGAGCGCACTCCCAGAGATGGGATCAGACGACGTAAAAGCACCACATTTCGAACCCCGATGCTCCCTCTTCTTGATACCTTCTGTAGCTCCATCTGTCCTTGAAGTTGTCCCTCGGCAATTCCAGAATGACTGAGATTGATCTGGAAATGAACCGGATGCTGGGGGATCGTGCTATGCCTCAGCTTTGACCGATATGCTGCAACCGCACTTGCTAGTGACATCACCCCATGTCCTGGACACACACACACACACACACACACACATGTAAGGGAGACTGGCGTACTGTCTGTCGGGGTTCAACCTCCTGAGTCGTCGGTGGAAGTCCGACGAAAACGTCTTGCACAATCATGTTTTTTTTTTTGTGGAGTAGTGTATAGCGAACACGACAACACACATGCGTGCATGCGCGCGCGCGCGCACACGAGAGAGAGAGAGAGAGAGAGAGAGAGAGAGAGAGAGAGAGAGAGAGAGAGAGAGAGAGAGAGAGAGAGAGAGAGAG